CGTGACACTAAGCAGCTGACTCCCCGGCTGCTTTATCTGTCAGATGAATGTAACAAAGAGAATGCCACAGCCTTATTGTGATTATGAGAGGTAATGTGCGTCTGCATAGAAAGTTCTCAAAATGGCAGCTATCTGACGGCTCGGGGTTCAACTTCCCCTGGAACTTCATTGTTCAGCGTACTTTACTACCAACACGCCACCAAGCAATTTAGGTTAGGCTCTAGCAAAATGAAGTGTTGTCACCTAGTTGACTTATAATTTTTAAATACATCACTGATAAATACTAAAAACAGAGACAATTTCTTAAAATCATCTGCATCAGTAAATGTGATTTACAGAAAATGAAGTATTATGAGCTTTAGTACTAAGGTACTCAGACAATTTTACAATTATAGGACTACATAGAGACTGGAGTAACGACTATGTTCGCCCTGTGCTGAGAACAGTATCTTTTGTATGTGCCCTCATATCTGTATTACAGGGGTCCTCAAACTTTTTAAACAGGGGGCCAGTTCACTATCCCTCAGACCGTTGGAGGGCCGGACTATAGTTTAAAAAAAAACTATGAACAAATTCCTATGCACACTGCACATATCTTATTTTGAAGTAAAAAAAACCAAAACGGGAACAAATACAATATTTGTATTTGCATGTGGCCCGCGGGCCGTAGTTTGAGGACCCCTGCTTATAAGAATTAAAGTAGCATGCCTTATATTTCAATAGTACTGTTCTAAAGACACGAACAAATAACCTGTCTTTCTGATTAGGAAAGTTTTTCCTGGCCAAAAATATCAGAGCGTGAATTTTAAATATTATGGTAACTTTAAATTTAATTGTGCTTTGTCACCAGTATACATAACATGCACCTTTTAAAAAAAGTATTATTAAATAAAATGAATAACTAATTTAATGTGAGAGGGATCCTGAATAATATTAATATGATTATCAAATGTATTTATTTTATAATTTCAATTTTTAAAATGAATTAATTTGGTGGCTCTAAGATAAGAAGCCTTATCTCCAATGACTGGAAACCTAAAATTTGCAGCATCCATATTTTTAAAATAGTGAAGACTAAGGAAGTCTTTTTTCACTGAAATAGGATACTAAACGTCTACTTTGAAGAACATAAATCTTAAATGAATGCCTCAGAACAATTTTTAAAAGGCAATTAAATCTGGGGGAAGGAAGCGAATGAGAATAAGGGAATCAAATCCATTGTATTTTGAATGTACTTTTGTGTATGACTTGAAGCTCAATGGAGCTTGTGAACCATTAACTTCAATTACACTGAAGACTCCAAACAAATCATTGCTATTGTAAATCTCATTAATTTTAAACACATGGGGACTGGAATAAATGGACTTTGAATTAACTCAATCCAAATTACCTAATATTAAAATATAATTGGAATTCAGTTGTTGTAAATTGCTTCCTAGTCTGAAAGGCAGAACAGATTGCTATACTAAGGTTTATTACAATTTTATCTAGCTTTAAAATTTCATAATAATATTTCTATTAGTTATGAAATGGGAAACCAAGGTAATTTTACTGATGTTTCTATATATTTTCTTAAAACTTGGGAACCTTTTATCGAATTTCAGCTCTTTAAGAGAGAAATTTTACTGTGAGTTCATTAAACTATTAAATTCCAAACACAGAAGTGTCAAATGCTAAATATATCTACTAATACATTGTTTTTAGTAAAATGATAATTTCTTTAGTTCTAAGTCTCTTCCTGCAATCACTTCTATGGTGATGAGGCAAAATGTGATTTTAATATCAGCTAATAATAAGGATACATATATAATAATAAAAGAAGTATATTGCTAAATAGTAAGAATTAAAAAATAGGTTTCTAAAATGAGACCACAGCCCTGACCATTTTGCTCAGTGGATAGAGTGTCGGCCTGCGGACTGAAGGGTCCCAGGTTCGATTCTGGTCAAGGGAATGTACATTGGTTGCGGGCACATATCCAGTAGGGAGTGTGCAGGAGGCAGCTGATCGATGTTTCTCTCTCATCAATGTTTCTATCCCTCTCCCTTCCTCTCTGTAAAAAATCAATAAAATATATTTAAAAATAAATAAAATGAGACTACATATTCTAAAAACAAAGATAAATTATTTTGAAAAGGTCTGACAGTTTTTGGACGTTTGGTATTATTATCCCCATCCATTTGTAAAGAGTGAGGTCACTGTATGAAAATACTATTATAGTAATTTCGTATTACTTATACCAGCCTTTACCATGTTTTATTAGTTTATATAATATCTAAGTGTTTGAGAGCTACATTTCAATAGGGCACCTATTATTAACATTCTGCTTTTACGTACAAAATTGTTCATCATAGGATAAATGTTCATGCATTCTCTGTACCTCCAAGTTACTTTCATGGAAGAGGGAACATCATTATTTAAGCCAATCCACCTTGAAAATGTGTGATGTGCACAGGCAGCTGGTGAGTACTGATACCTGAGAAGAAATGCGCTTTGAAGCCCTTCTTTGATACAGTGTTGTCAGATTTGAACTCAATTCTCATGTTGTTGAGCTGGGATGTGATCACTTCCGGTACTTCAGCACCACAAAATTTGCCATGCAATTTAGAATCAGAGGAAAGGCCACTCCAAATCTCCACATAATCGTATTTGCAAACCTAGTAAAACACACACATGGTTATTATAGTCACGAGATTTGGAAGTATCAGATAACTGACATTTTTTTAAATTTTCTTTTTTTTATTGCTTAAAGTATTACAAAGAGTATTACATACGTCTCCTCTTTTTCCCCGCCTTGACAATCCCCCAGCCTCCCCAGTGTCTTATGTCCATTGGTTATGCTTATATGCATACAAGTCCTTCGGTTGATCTCTTACGCCCCCCCCCTTCCCGCCCTAATTTTATTTTTCAATTACAGTTGATATTCAGTATTATTTTATATTAGTTTCAGGTGCACAGCATAGTGGTTAGATAATCATATACTTTACAAAGTGGGCCTCCCAAAATTTCAAGTATCCACTGCCACCATATTTGGTTATTACAATATTATTGACTATATATCCTATGCTGTATTTTCCATTATATTGGAATTGATAGGTAACCAAAAATATCAAGGAAAGGGACCAACTCTGAGACAAAAATATGTGCTTGTTTATATATATTTATAGCATATATCTTATATCTCTTTTTAAATGTTCAAATATTTAAGTTTTCACTAGGAACTGTGAAAAAATTTGTCATATACCATCTTATTCAATGCTGACAACAGCTACATGAAATTTAGTCCATGAAGTAACCATTAGCAATAGACGTGATCTTTTCTATTGTAAAGATGAGAAAACTGAGGCTCAGAAATTTTATATAACTTGCGCAAACTTATACATCTTATACATTGCAGTGTGGTGATTGATAACATGGAATTTGGCTTGGTCCAGAGATGCCTCCCAGAAACTTCATTCTAACCAGAACAGCACTCTTAGGAAATTTCAAAGTAAGACACTGGTATATAATAAAAAGGTTCCTTTGCCTTTCAAACTTATCAAACAAACTGATATTTCTTTTTTTAAGAAAATATTTTTATTCATTTCAGAGAGGAAGGGAAAGGGAGAGAGAGATAGAAACATCAATAAGAGAGAATCATTGACCGGTTGCCTCCTGCACACCCAGGATTGGGGATTGAGCCCATAACTCGGGCATGTGCCTTTGATCAGAATCGAACTCGGGACCCTTCAGTCTGCAGGCCAATGCTCTATCCATTGCGCCAAACCTGGCAGGACCAAACTGATGTTTCTTAATTTCTTTGAGTTGCTCGGCAGCATTGGTGCAGAACTACAAACAACAATAATTCTATAAAGTGGGATGGAGGCAGACATTTATACTAACAAGAGATAGAATTTATATGTAATATACAAACACCACCAAAGTGGCAGAAGCTAAGTGAATGCCAGGTATTCTTAAGCAATCTTATGGCCACTAACAGATGTTTCCATAACACAATTCTAAAGTTTCGACAGAGCACACTGAAGAACACATCTTGCATGAATGACCTTATTACAAAAATGTGTAATTAGCAAGTATAACAACGCATATGTTTGAACCCTGGGGTATGATCTGTACCTTGTAATATGTCAACTCAAATTACTGGTTCTTGGGGTTTTAATTAGGTGATAAATTAGCAAGATATTGCTAGAAAAAATGAAATAATTTTTCTATCTACTTTGTTACAGCTGCAACTTTTGTTTAGAGAGGCCTCTGACATTGGATAGGAGAATGTAACCAAGGCCACAGTTGTTTGACATTGACTTTCTTTTTGGATATCCATTTAATGAATAAAATAACTAAGTTTTAGCTAAACTCAGTATTCTATACAGTCAGGTTTTTGCGCATGCCTTTATTTTAAATAGTTAAGACATCCAACAATGAAAATACACAGAATTTTGTAACATCCTTCCACACAGGGACATCATTATAAGTTTAAGACTCTGAGATATGTTACTGAGTCTGAATAGGTTTTCCATGAATAAAGGCCATTATCACGGGAAAAATGCTTTTCAAACACAAATCTCCATTTACTTAGAGCCACCTCCCCCACCCCACCCCGCGCTTCCTACTGAATATAAACTTCTAGCCTTCTTAGGAACATTTATCAATGAATGAATCAAAACGTCCTATCTGCCACAACCAATAGCTCTAAGGAAAAATGAAAGAATAGAAGTCATTCAACACAAAGTTCATATCAAACCACAGCACTGGTAGGGAGATTCCCATTTTCAAAAAGTGTCACTCATATGAAAGCTCTTCTAAAAATACTATAAAAATTATTTTCGCCCTGACTGGTTTGGCTCAGTGGATAGAGCATTGGCCTGCGGACTCAAGGGGCCCCGGGTCAATTCCGGTCAAGGGCATGTACCTTGGTTGCGGGCACATCCCCAGTAGGGGGTGTGCAAGAGGCAGCTCATCGATGTTTCTCTCTCATCCATATTTCTAACTCTCTATCCCTCTCCCTTCCTCTCTGTAAAAAAAATCAATAAAATATATTAAAAAGATATTTTTGTCATTCAAAGGTCCTCTACATTTCATATAAGACTAAAGGAAAAGAATGTTCCATGTGAATAAAGTATGTTGTGAATATAAACTGTGGCCTTTCCCATCATAAAATGTATACATGATGTAAAGAAGATCTCAAAATGTCCAGTGAGCCCTAACAGTCTACAGTTCTCTGAAATACAAATGTTAATCACATTTCAGACTTTAATTTCCTTTAAGGAAACACAAAAATCAGCAACTTTTTTACCTTGAAGCCATTAGTAAGAGGTTTAAAATCACACAGAAGCGCCTTTCAAATAAATCATTTCATTTGTTTAAATGTGGTCACCTGACAGAAAACTGTACCTTCACTACAGTAAGTTTTTGTAAAGGAAAGATAGCATCAATTAAATGCATTTTAATTGAGGTTAAAAATATTAATTTTGTAAATCAAAGACAATATCAACTAAAGGTACCTTTTATTAAGGGTAAAGTATTAACCTTCCCTTATTTGTGAACAGGGAACACATTCATAATAAAATACTAGTTATGTAATGAAAACTTATCCATTGCCACAAGTCAAATATACTGGCTTCTCCCAAAAGAATATTTTTGTTATGACTCAACCAGTGGATTTTGGTTTATTTTCATTTTAGAAAAGTCCATGTGACATGAAGCTGACCTTAATGTTCTCAAAATTCTTTAATAAATCACAAATGCTGCATATTAATACATAAAATAAAAAGTAATTTTCAGTCTCCCTGAAACAGTCTAAAATATTATCCAAGGCCAACAGGAATTATAAGCAGTTGCAGAAATGAGCAGTACAGCAAAGAAAGACTACAATATCTATATCATGTACCACCAAAATACATTCTTTCTTTCCTTACATTTTTAGTTTATCAGTTTGCCTCAGGAAATCCAAAAACACAATAGAAAAAAATTAGATTTGTTATTCACTTACTTCATTGCCCTCCAATTCAAAAAACTCAAACTTCACAGAAATTCTGTACTGAGTTGGAGCAACCACTTGCCACACACAGTTTTTATTAGGAGGGTACTCCTTGGGCCAACCTGGAGTGGTTATGGTGCCATTAAGTTTGGTAAGAAGTCCACCACAAGCCGCTAGAAGAAAAGAAAAGGAAACAATTTTTCCTTAACAAAGTCATCTTAGCACCTTCCCATTGATAACCCAACATCTCAGCATTAAATTTCAATCATCTTTCAGATTTTTCAAGATGTAGAGTATTGCAGTCTCTGTTCCTTAGACTTTAGTACAACTATTTTAATCATCTAGTCCCACTTATAAACTGCTATTTCGTAGCATTGGAACCAAGCAAAGTATGGTTGTACTACAGCATTTAGATCATTTTAAAGTTGGGTGATCAATATAAGGAAAACTGGGTGTCTGCATCCTTGTCTTTTAAAAAAATATATTTTATTGATTTCAGAGAGGAAGGAAAGGGAGAGAGAGAGAGAAACATCAATGATGAGAGAATCATTGATTGGCTGCCTCCTGCATGCCCCACATTGGGGATTGAGCCTGCAACCCGGGCATGTTCCCTTGGCCGGAATCAAACCAAGGAACCTTCAGTCCACAGGCCGACGTTCTAACCATTGAGCCAAATCAGCGAGGGCTCATTGTCTCTTAAATGGCTATAATAATATCTACACCATATGGTAGTTGTGAGAATCAATGAAAAGTACAGGTAAAGCACAATGGGGTCTGATGCTGTAGGACCACCATCAATTGGTTATTTCTTTATGCTCTTTTTTCCCAACACAAGCAATTCTTGAAAAAAGTTGTCTGTGTAGCAAGCAAGATAACCTATACTAAATAGAACATAGCTATTATTAAAAAAATCCAATTAGAAGTATTTTTTCCCTTTTGGATGAGCTATTTAAAAGACGTACTATTTATGTTACCCTTCTTCCTCATTGAGAGGGAGTTCAGCAAAAATCAGGGAATCCAAAAGGAAGCTGAGTGAAAAGAATATGTATTGTATTTGGTTTACAAATAATTCCTAGGGAGTCAAGAGTTACCTAAAGTAACTGTTCTCTGCTTTCATTGCCTGTGTTTGTGTGTTAGTGTGAGTGTGAGTGTGTGTGTGTGTTTGTATGTTTATGTGTGTGTGATGGGGCAAAAGTAGGTTTACAGTTCTAATATATGAAACTTTATTCTTATATTATTATTTATTATTGTATTATTTTTATATGAACACTGTAAACCTATTTTTGTCTCTCTATCTAGCCATCTATATACACACACACATACACATATATACACATATATATATATACAAACACACACACACACACACATATATCTTAAGCTTAAACTTTTAAGAAAAAACAGAGTCCTTGATCTTATAAATAGGTCACTGGGGTGTGGCATTTATTCATTAAACAAATAATTCTGCCCCTTTGCCACTTTTTATGTCCTCTGCTACAGATACAATAGAGAACAAGGTGTTCATGTGTAGGGAGCTTACATTTTTGTTGGAAACAAAAATACCCTCAATACATACATAAACATGGATAACATTAAAATGTCTCAAGTTTTATGAAAATGATTTTGGTAGAAACCTTCAGAGAGGAAAAAATGAGGAACAGAATGGAGGAAGCAAATCAATTTATGTATTTTGCCTGTTACTCGAGCATGAGGCCTTCAGTGTGGAACAGGGGAAACGGAAGAGTCAGCTTTAACTTCTGAAGGAAGAGATCATAGGACATCGCAACAAAACACCGTACGAGAAATCTCATCTTAGAATTACAGAGGAAATGCAGAAAACATGACAAAATGTCTTTGTTTAGGAATCTTTTATTAATAACGTGTATTCAGTTCCTGCTTTATGTCTGACTGTGCTAGATGCTGGAAATACAAAGATGACTAAGAGTCAGGGCTCTGCAGTTCAATAAGGGAGACACACCATAAATTATGTTTAAGAAAAGGTAATAGTAAGTGATAGATGAATGGACAGGAGGATAAAAATATAGGTTCAGAGAGAAATAAAAACAGAAATAAATAG